GACTCGCATTCTCTTCTCTAATACTAATTTGATGACACAATTTCTAGAATATTTTTAAATAATGTAAGATTTATGCGCATTCTATGAATTTTTTTTCTTCTAGTGTGTTGTCGAGGGACGCGATACTGTAGATCGATCAGATGAGTTAAAAATAACATCTTGTAAAATTTACAAACTTTAATTTATCTATTAAAATTCATCAACATTTAATTGAAGAGCTTCTACGTTAAAAATAAAAAGGAGGTTAATGAACCATTCATTATAGAAGTTTAACACGACAAACAACAACATTATTCCAAAAACCAATTCAACATAACTAGTTGTTTATAGCCAAACATGGATAGTGAAAATTGGTATTCTCTATTCATATTTCTATTTTTTTAAAGTGTAAATTCATATATTTTTCTCTAATTGAAATTGTATATATTTATATCTAAAAAACTTGAAAATTAATTTCGATTTTCACAAATAGCTAAAATCAAGAATGAGGAACATCCGACAAGACAAGATTCGCAGGTTTCAACTTCTCAGCTTCCAAATGTGAACACTTCCAACACACTTCAAAATAATTACTTTGAAAAATTCAAGATTTTTGGCACTAATGTTTTTTTTTTTTTTTTTTTTATATTGCATGCATGTACGACGAGCCAAAAATGCTGCACTATATTTTATTTTACTTTTCTATTTTTTTTTTCTCGTATAGTAGTTGCAAACTATACGATATATATAGATTACACTAGGCTGATTAATCATGTGTGACGAGCTCGACTTATCACAAAGGGCATCATTGATCTTATTTTAGAATTTAGGACCCAATAGACTAATTGTAATTGACATTTTACCTACCTATCTATCTATATAAACAATTAAGTTAAGTTTGTAATTTACTGAAATAACTTATTTTATTTTATTTTAAATTGCAGCTACTGGAAGTTGTCGTTTACGAAGAAAAAAACCAGACCATAATTTATAATAAGGTATTTCTAATTAATTACAAATTAATTAGAAGGACAGTTTTACTTTTTTGTAAGTTAGCTGATTTTTTTAATAATTGAACAAAATGTTAAGGGTAGTTTATTTGGTACACTCTTCTAGAAATGTTTTCATAAACAAAAATGGCCAAGCCTCGTAGTTTCTGAATTAATCACCTTAATTTAAAAAAAAAATATATTGGGGTAATTACACCTACACCCTTGAAGTCTGCTAAAATAATTTTAAAGTCCCTGTGGTATTGGTAATTACAACCAATTATCGGAGCCAACTAGCTCTATATATGTTGTTGTCTCCACCAGTTCATGAAACTAATAGTCTGTTAGAACTCCATCAAAACAACGTATCCAATGCATTATCCTATTGGAGTTTCTAACAATGTTTCGGGGGTGATTGTAATTACAGATACTACACGGACTTTAAAGTTATTTTAACACACCTTGGGGGTGTAGGTGTAATTTACTCTTTTTGTATACCTAAATTGTGTTTGTGTTATTTAAGATTGTCAAAGAGACAAAATGAAATCAAGTTATAACTTAATTTCCAATAACCAATTATATTAATGCATAGTTCCTAGTGATTAACATCATATATATATAGATAAGAGTACTAATTTCCAAGTAAAACATTAACAATTTTCTAGGCAACATTGTCATGTATACCACTGACACAATAACACTTTGTTTAGAGAGAAATTCATGTTGTGTGCACGAAAAACAGACACATGATTAATTTTAAATTTCAATAAACGAACAACCCCACAAACTGAAATCTACAAAATCTCGTATTTGCTGTATCTGGTGAAATATATCGAATTATTTTACTCCATATAATTACACACATACTTATGGTGAGCCCTTATTCGATTAATTTCACAAAATGTACTAATGTAGTATCTAATTTATATGTGTCAAACCCTAATTCATGACTCGTGGGGTTTACTTATGTAAAAATATGTATGTAAAAATATGTAACGTACGAAGATAATGAAAAAGGTAAATTATGAAAATCTCCCTAAATTTTTAGGCTAAATAATGAAAAATACCCCCACCTATCCATAATAACCAAAAATTCCTCTTGATTAACTATTGATAGAGGTTTTTAACAGAAAATGTGTACAGTCAATTATACCTTATGTTAAATAGGTCAGAAAGAAAATAAATTATCTGAATTGTGTAAAGTCTATTTCCTAGAATAAAAAAAAATCCGTGAAAAGTCAAAATGTTGTGAGTTGGTGAAAGATGGAAACAAACCTCGGCGTTTTTTTAGTAATTACAAATAGATGAAGGTGGTCTATATAATTTAATCTAAGTTTAGGGGGTTTTGGTAATTTACCCAAAAAAATTTGAGTTTTATTTGGACTCCTTTGAGCGATGATTTAGCTTAGGATTCCCCTCTGCGGTGAAGTAGGGTCCCAGTTACGTACAGTCAGAAACTCCTCGAAGTTCGTGTGAGTCAGTCGGGTACGGGCCGGGTCTAAAGTTGATGATGATCCTACACGTGCACCCACAATAACCACCTCACCGTAATTTTTTTTTTTACCCCCAGTCCACAAATATTTACCTTACCTGCTCCATCCATCTCATTATAATGACGAAACTAACCCTCAACTTTAAATATTATTATTATTGTTTTTTTTACAGGTTACAATATTATTATACTGGGATAATTTTATTTAATTAATTGTGAGTTATGGGAACTGTAGCTTTGACCAATTATTGTACTCTACTAAAAAATCAACTCTGACCAAAAAAATGTCGTGAGCTTATGATTAATTAATTTATGACAAGCTCGGTAATTAATTTCATATTAATATTTGTTTAACACAAAAAGGAAAGAATCTTTGTCAAGAATAATAGAATATTAACTTAGAAACCCTCATGCTGCAGTGATTCTCTGAGAGTTTGTCTCCTTTTTAATTGTATCATTTTCCATTTAATTATGAAAAAAAGTTGCATGGAATTAATCTATTTTATGTGTCATTCAACGTATTTACTTTAATAAATTCGGTCGAAACTTGTCAAAATATCGAATCTTTATTTTTATAAACCCCCAAAAAGTCACATTTTTTACAATCGTAGTAATATCTATTTTACGAAAAAATTCCTTGTTTTTTCATCATTACATCCGCCCCTTGAAAGCTGTAGAGTTTTTACATTAACAACATTTTGTAGGATATGAATGTAAGAAATTTATAAACTGCAAGGGTCTGGATGTAATTATTAAAAAATAAAGTGTTTTTCATAAATTGACTTTACAAGAGGGAGGTGGTTGTAATATATAGATGTTGAGTGAGTGCAAACTTTTGATGTATGTATAAGCATATGTTACGTATCAATATAGTTGCCTATGATTTACTTTATTACCCCCAAAAAAATAAGCAAATTAATCAAGAAATTGGTGATACAATTAAATTATAGAATTAATGAGAACTAATCTCAGTAAATTTCCATAACATCCATACTTTATTCATCAATTATTGGACATTTACTTCCAGTTATTGCATGCAGTAATTTCTGTAGACCGTTAGAGGGTTGGTAAATGCGAAGAAAGTAACAAAGGGGCACATTAGTAATAATACATTCACGAATTTCAAAATGCCAAGGGCAAAACCGAGAACTCACGTAGTACCGCTGTGGCAGATGAGTGGACGCCAAATTCTCCACTTTCCCACTTTTCCAGCGTTCCCTTTTTGCCCCTCCTATTTAAGAACCCTCAAATACAAAAAAGATAAATAATAATAATACTAGGGGTAAATTACAACCATTCTTAAGCTATAGTTAAATTACGAAAAAACTTCTATTATTTGAATAATTACATCTACTCGTCAACTATGAATTTTCTTACATTTCCACCCTTATGGTGTTAAATTCAACATAATCATCTATATTCTATGGAATATTCTCTAGTTTGTATTCGTTTTGTGCAAAATTACAGTTTCTGATGCAACACAATCTGATATATACAAGCCACAAAACACATCTTATGATCATCTAGCTTAACGTCAAAATGTTGAGCTCGAATGGCATAAAACGAGTCCAAAATTGAGAATATTTCATATAATTTAAAAGATTGCACTAAATTTGACACCATAAGAGTGGAGATGTAAGAAGATTCATAGTTGAGGGTAAATGTATTCTAAAAATAATAGGGGTTTTTTCGTAATTTAACTATACCTTAGGGGTGGTTCTAATTTAACCTAATACTAATAATAGGAAATTTATTATTTGCATCCCCAAGTTTGCACTAGTTTCATATTTGGTCCTCGTATTCAGGAAAAATACATTTTGCTCTCATATGTCATCAATTTGACACTTTTGGTTACTTTGTCGATCTACTGTGATGATGCTAGAGTTAGATCACCTTAGAGAGTTGAAGTAGGATGAGCTGGAAGAGCATAGTGGATCATTGGCTCACGAGTTTGATGACCTTCATATACCAGCGATCATAGAACACGTAAACTAAGTCGGGAGTTGATCAGACGGAAACCCCTCCGACGCTCAAGTCAGACGCGGATAGTGGAAAAAGTAATACAATTGGTCCTATTGCTCAGATAACAGGACGTACCTTAAAGAATGAGTTCCAACATTTATTTATACCTCATTGATTGGGCTGAAGTTTAATTAGTTGAGATTGTCGGGCCAAAACCTTATTTGAAGGTGATTGAGCCTCGGTAGTAGTTGTCTTTAATATTGGGATCGTGTCCCAGTAGGTAAATAAATTATAGGCCCATTGGGTTGATCCAGTTATGCATATCATACTGTGAGTTCATCAGTTAAAAAAATGATGGAAACATTCTTGACTCCGTTAGTACCAACGGAAAATTGACTGAAATGATTAAAAAATGTTAAATTATTAAAATATGAGTCACTCAATATGTTTTTTTTTAACATAGGGACCAAATGTAAAATTTAGGTAAATGTGAGGGGCAAAAAGTGTAATTTCCCAATAATAATAATAAAAAAGAATAATAAAATAGTTGAACAGTATAAAAATCTTGAATTAAAAAACACAGACATCTCATTCTCATCTCTGCATTCCAATTGGATTTTTCGAAGACACCCATCAAAGAAGAGAGAGAAACACACACATCTAATTGAGAGAGATAGAGAGAGAAACAAGAAGAGAGAGAGAGAGAGAGAGAGGTCGCTCTCAGTAACATCACAGGAAAACAACTCCTACAGAGAGGGGAAGGCAAAAAAGGGGGTGGCGCAGGATAAGCAGAAGCAATGGTGTTGCTGCTGCTGCTGCTCTAACGTAAGCCTTCCGCGCAGGATAACTTCCACTTGGGGGGTGTTTTGGTTATTTGGAGCGGCGGTTGAAAGTGCTGCTACAATGGCATCAGCTGCGCATTTTAGCAACGGCCACCGTCGGTGGAGGAGACTGGTAAAGGTATTCTTCTTGGTTCTTCTCTCGCTAACGTACGCCGCCGTCGCCGCCGGGAGATTACCGGCTTCTTCAAGACAGAAGCTTGAAGTTCAGAAACACTTGAAAAGACTGAATAAACCCTCCATTAAAACCATTCAGGTCGGTCAAATATAATACCCATTAATTATTACATGTTTCAGTTTCTTCTGTCTAAAAACATGATAAAGATCGGATTTTTATTTAATTTATTTCAATTTCCTTGCAAATTTGCTCAACATATATGAATTTCTGAACAGAGCCCAGACGGAGATATAATCGACTGTGTTCACATCTCTCATCAGCCAGCTTTCGACCACCCTTTCCTCAAAGACCACAAAATCCAGGTCTTTATTAATTATTACATCTTTACTTAATCTTTTTTTTTTGCCTTTGTTCTTCAACTTTTATTTTCTTTTGCTTTTTCAGACAAGGCCTAGTTACCATCCAGAAGGGCTTTTTGATGAGAGCAAGATTTCTACAACGGAAGGGCCAAGAACAAACCCAATTACTCAGCTGTGGCACGTGAGCGGCACGTGCCCTGAGGACACAATCCCCATAAGAAGAACAAAAGAAGAAGATGTTTATAGGGCAAGCTCTGTGAAAAGATATGGTAAGAAGAAGCACAAAAGCTTCCCCAAAAAGCCCAGGTCTGCAGATCCTGACCTCATTAATCAAAGTGGTCATCAGGTAAATTATTATTTCTTTTATTATCAAGATTATCCTTTTTTCTTGGTTTTTTTTAAACCCTTTCTTGATTTTGTTGTGTTGGAGTAAACCCTTTTCTTGATTTTTGTTTTGGTGAATGATGATGTTGTTGTAATGAACAACAGCATGCAATAGCATATGTTGAAGGGGACAAGTACTATGGAGCAAAAGCAACAATTAATGTTTGGGAACCTAAGATACAACAGCCCAATGAGTTCAGCTTGTCTCAGATTTGGGTTTTGGGTGGTTCTTTTGGTGAAGATCTTAACAGCATTGAAGCTGGTTGGCAGGTACACACACACACACACACACACACACACATATATATACATCAAGAATAAACAAGATACTTGATTTTTGTCTTAATTTTTTAATGAATAATTGGGTTTCCAGGTTAGCCCTGATCTGTATGGTGACAACAACACTAGGCTCTTCACTTATTGGACTGTAAGTCACTTTCCTGTATTACATTAAAAAAATTTATATATGTACAAGTATAAATTAAATTTGAATTTGTTTGTAATAAAATTGCAGAGTGATGCATACCAAGCAACAGGTTGCTACAACCTTTTGTGCTCGGGATTTATTCAAGTCAACAGCGAAATAGCAATGGGTGCAAGCATCTCCCCTGTTTCTGCTTTTCGAAATTCACAATACGATATTAGCATTCTTATCTGGAAGGTATATTCCATATTGCAATCGGAATCTTGCAAATTTTCTTTACCTAGATATCTTTTTTTTTTTTCCTCACATGGTCTAAAAATCCAGTCTTTTTCCCTTTTTTTGGCTAAAAAAAGAAACTTTATTGCAATTGAAGAACGAGGGGCCTCGTGAAAACCTTGTTCGTACAAAAAAAAATCCAATCTTGAATACACCCGAGTCCCGACACACATGAATGTGTGTGTGTGATATAAACTTCGTGTTTCTTGGCATTGTTATACAGGATCCGAAGGAGGGAAATTGGTGGATGCAATTCGGGAGTGACTACGTATTGGGATATTGGCCATCGTTCTTGTTTTCGTACTTGGCGGATAGTGCATCCATGATTGAGTGGGGCGGAGAAGTTGTGAATTCGGAGGCCGACGGGCAGCACACGTCGACTCAAATGGGGAGCGGTCATTTTCCGGAAGAAGGGTTCGGAAAATCGAGCTATTTTAGGAACATACAAGTTGTGGACAGCTCGAACAACCTTAAATCTCCAAAGGGACTCGGCACTTTCACCGAGCAGTCCAATTGCTACGATGTTCAGCCAGGTAGTAACGAGGATTGGGGCCATTTCTTTTACTATGGAGGCCCTGGTAGAAACCCTAATTGCCAATGAATGAGAGGGCTGAAGAAATAGATGTTCCTACCTCTATATCTCTATCTCTATATGTATACCACTTTTTATTTTTTTATTTTATTTTTTTTAGTTTTGTTAGGTTTGTTTAGTAGATGTAGCCTTCTTGTATGGAAATTATTGACCAATTTGGCTTCTCTAAAAGAGTTGTTTATGCAAGTGAATTGGGGGGAAAAGTGGTCATGTTTCTTGAAAATTGGAGGGAAAATTGTTTATACATAAAAAAAAAAAAGCTGCGGTGTCAATTATGTAGGTGCAATAGTTAAATCTACACTATCGGGTGTGAATTTGTAAGTAATGTGAAATAATTAACTTAGAAAGTGTTGGCAATGAACTCCGATCATTTGACATTGTGTTGTCTCTCTAAATTTTTATAGACAATTCATAACTTCACATACAAAATCAATTCTACCAAAAGCTCTCATTGTCAAACTCTTTTTTAGGGTTTTGAGTTCTTCAATGAATCTTTCTTATTTTGTCAACCGAAGGACAATTTTACTTCATTACTTTGGACCATACAATACTAAATGCTAGTTTGTCAATACATAAATAATAAAATAATAAAATAAAATAAAAGAAAAAAATTAAAAAAAAAAAACCCAACTTTCTTTTGATTGGAGCTGATGGGATGGGGATGGGGCCCTCTAATTTAATATGTTTGAAAACGATTTTGAAAAAAAAAAGGAATATGAGGCCAGTTGGACGATATTTACATGTGGAACAAAACTATGTACTATATTTTTATTTTTTATTTCATTTTTTAATAGGCTTAATCTCGTTCACACCCTTGAAATATTGCATTTTCTCATTTTGGACCCTAAAAAATAACTAATAGTATTGTGTACCTTTGAAACGCAATAAATCATTCACAAAGCACCCTAAAAAACAATAAATCATTCAAAATACGCCATGAATTGAATTTTTAAATTCTACAGAAAATGCGATTTTATTTTTTATTGGCCTTTTTTCAGGATGCAAAATAACAAATTAAATTATCATTTTCTACTACCCTCCAACCTAATTTCGAGCTTACAAAGTGCAAAAAACACAGAGTTACTTAAAAATCACATGGAAGAAAAAAAAATTCTCCCTCAATTATTTGATTAGTAAGTCTTTTATTGTAATTGGTAAAAATATTTGTAACAATATATAACTTTCAAAAAACTTGATAAGAAACATAGATAAAGGAACTGTTTTTCCTTTTATTTTATTTTTTTGTAAAATATTTTTTCCTGTGATAAGATGTAACTTCTAAATATAATGTAGAGATGTATTTTTATTTTGCACTTTTTAGTTTCTAAAGCATTGATGAATATATTAAAAAAATCAATACTTGGTCTACTAAACAAATACCACTTAAAATATTAAATTAGTTTTACTAGTTTAATTTTTTTAATTTGGAATGCAGGGTGCATGATTTATTGTATTTTATGGGTGTAAAGTGCTACTAATTTTTTTTAGAGTACAAAGTGTCAAAATGCAATATTTCAAGGGTGCAAAGTGTCAATACTAACCTTTTTCCCATTCGGATTCTCGGTGTATTTCCTTTCTGTAAAGAATCGCCCAGGCTACCACCACTCTCTAAATGGACCTCAAAAGCTCTTATGATTAGCTTATTAGTTATACTTATGATAATTTTAAATTATCTTTTATATTTTATTGTATAATAAAATTTAGGTTAAACACCCTTAAATATTTATGATAGTTGTCAGACATTTGACATTAGCACCATTTGATCTAAGCTCTGAAATTACCAAAACGCCACAATTTCCAGTTTAAATAATTGTTAAAAAAAATAATAATAATAAGAAAAACAAAAAAAAATAATAAGAAATTCAAGACAATGAGAAAATGTAGTCCACGATGGCAGCCACAATTTATTTATTTTTAATTAATTTTTTGAATTATTTAAACTGGGAGGGGTGATTTTTTGTATTCAAACTTAGATTAAACGGTGTTAACGTTAAAAGTCTGAAAAGCAACGACGAGGGCCACATAGAGACAAATTTTCAAGTACAGAGGGGCAAATCGTTGCAATTGAGAGTATGAGTGATATCGAACCAAAGTAAAAGGGGGGAAATGGAATTTACACTAAAATCTAATAATTATGAAAAAGTATAAATAATATCTGTTGGATAAGTCCTTAGCAAAGTAGTAATCAAATTTCATATTACAAGCCCAATTGAACTAATTTATTATGCATAAGGCCCAAGTTGGTTCGTATTGGAGTTCTATGTAACGAGATTTGATTTGTAACTTATGTTTGCAATTTATTTGATTTGATTTGATTTGTAAATCTCCGACTAATATACTTAAGATTGCATCTGAAATTAACTCGAGGAGGATTCTCAAGAATTATTATCACCATAATATAACTAACTACGGCTGAAATTTAGGTTTATCAAGTGTATTTATACAGTTGACTGCGGCTTCCTTCATTACCATTAAAAAAGTTTTAAAAACTATGGTGAAATTGCTACAAAATTTCTAATTTTAGTCCATTTCAATCATAAAGGTTTTGATTTTTGTAAGAACAATTATGAAGTTTGAAAATTTTCAATTTTACTATTTCCTACCTATTTATATTGTTTGGTACTCATTCAGAATGGCATGTAATTGTTATACAAAACGGCTCAGTCCCCTTTTGTCCATTGTACAGTTTTGGCGAATCCAATAAAAAACTAACACCAAACCATAACCACCTAGATCTATCCAATACTTATACTGAGTTGACTCACCAACACACGCATAGTTAACCAGTTAAATGGAATATTCTCACGCTCGATTTTACTATTTCCTACCCAATTCTCTCTCACTCAGAGACTCAATCATTCACAAAAGATGGAGATTTCAGAGTCTTACCTTTGTCCCTCTCTCTAATGGCACTATAGATGAGCACGGAACCAACGGTAAGAGACAACAAAGCTGCTTATAAGTCAAAGTCAACTATGTACAACAAAAAATTGTAAAGAGTTGCTGGAAAAAGACAAGCTTACAACGTAAACTGTTCAAAAATAGAGGGAGAAAGGAGGAGAGAGGAGTAGCATATTCAAAAAAGTTTTTACACCAACCCTCATTAGGAGAGTTGGTACCTAGCCTTTACCAATAGGGTAACGGTCTAGGGTTCGAGTCCCCCCCTCCCCTACTTCCCCTTGTAACAGACTCGAATTTACTCAAAAAAAAAAAAAAAAAAAAGTTTTTACAAGAACAGCATCAAATTGAGTTAGAAAGATTTGAAAATTTTTAGGTTTTCCAATTGACAAAAATGGCTCTTATGCAACTTTTACTTTTCCAGATTACACATATGTACTCGAACAGTATCAAATTTTATTATTCTTTCCAATAAAAGAATTTTCAGACCTAATTTCGTCACCTCAATCTAAGCCCAAATCAATATTATCTCTAGGCTTCTATTTGATAACCTACATTACTAAAAAAACACCCTGGAAATAGACAAAATCTCAGATGGTATTTAAATCAAGAACTGTGTGAACAAACAGATAGCTACCTCGAATATATATCAAGAAAATAAGTATAATTAAAAGTACTAAAAAGCAATTTTTTTACGAATAAGGGGGGGCTCTGTGCAAATTGCACGAGCAGTTCAGAGTAGAGCTACAACCCGACGAATGGGAGTATACGCATAACAGGAATGGTGGTGAAAAACTTCACTACATTGCTATAACACCCCTGCACTATGCTAAAATTACAACCTCTCCGATTTCTACACGACTGCATATTCCAAAAATGAAACCAAGAAAATAAGAAGAAAAATTTGTTCTTTTTTTCCTCACAGAAAACCCGTTATTCCGAATCACTTTCGATGCTCCCCATTGCTTTCAATCCTCTCGGTTTCTGCAAAAAAAAAAAAAAATCGGAATCAACCGATAGGACAAAATAAACAAAGAATCAAGAAAATATTGAGATAAGATTCTTATTACCTTCTTAGAAGTTTTCTTCTCTCTTACTTCGTACCTCTCTTGGCACAAATCCGATAACCATGCCCCGGGACTAACCAACTACACAAACGTATAAATATATTTTCAGACAACCTTAAATCAAACAAACATAAATTTCATTTGTCATACGAAAAAAAAAACATACCAAAATGGTTCTTTGGACCAACTTGGCTCGTTTCTTGGGCCTTTGAGGCGGTTTACAACCTTTCATAGCCATAAAATCTTCCTCTTTTTCTTTACTCGATAGCGAAATAAGCAACTTCGGCCAAACGACTTTTCGATTTTCCTCCTTTGGATTGGCAAACAAGGCCTTGCTACTACTATCATCGAATCCACCGGACCCCCTCGTTGTATAATACCTGTCTTCCTTCTCCGGCGATAAGGAAGTCGATGCTTTTCGACTGTCGTTTAAAATAGATCTACTCATTCCCGATTCCCTGAAGTTAAAGAAAGTTTGTTAAAAACGATTACTTGAACATCAAACTCGGCTAAAAGAAAGTTTTTTTATATCCCGTTTCCTCTTTCCTCTAAGAAAACCTCATTACAACAAACAACTACTCTTTCTAACGACGAACAACAATGTGGATCTAACCAACATTACAACGAAAAACCCATAAAGATTCTCGAACTAACATATTCTGCAAGCTTCGTTTACGAAAAAAGTTCAAATTAGACGAACAAAAAGCAAGGAAATTTGGTAAAGCACCATCCTTTATACTTTGAATTTAAAATTAACCCAAAAATGATAACCGGAAACCAAATCTAGGGGTAGTAAATCGAAAAAGCAAAAAAAAAATTAAGCAAATAAATGTCTCAAAAGAATTAAACAATTATTCAAAATATAAAAAACATAAGAAAAAAAAAAGACGAAAGATTCGATCTTTTTTCCGAAATCTCGTTACCGATGAGGACGAAGAGGAGATGGAACCGGAGGAAGAGAATGCCCAACATCTTTACTGTTATGATTAACATTGTTATTATTATCCACAACTCTTGAAGTAATTTTCTTCTTCACCACACCACCACCACCACCACTACCGCCGCCGCCGTCTGATTTTCCGTTCAAAGATGAGTCTTTTACTTTCACACACCTCAGCCTCTTTCTATTACCCCACTGCAACTTATCCATGATGAAGAAATCTGCAGAAATTCAAAAGCACCCCCATTTGAGATCTTTCACTTATACACACAAACTCAAACACACACACAGAAACAGAGAGATACACACATAAATATAGATACAAATGTAGTACTGATTAAAAAACAAGAAATTGAAGAAAAGTCAAACCCACCTCAAGATCTGTGAAAAATTACAGTTCCAATTGAGATTCAACCCAAGTTTAACCTGTATTCAAAAACCCACCAACAAATCAGCACACAATCCCATGCAAATTATAAATAAATAAACTACCAAGAAGAAGAGAGAGATACATATAGAGAGAGAGAGAGAGAGGGTAGAGAGAGAGAGATTACAAGAAGAATGAGAGAGAGCCTTTCTTGTTCAAAACACAGCATCCATCTGTTTCTTGGTACACAAAAAAACTATGTCAAAAAGGGTTAGATTGTGTCACTGCTGCAGATTTATTATCTTCCTCTCTTACAATGAAATGAAAATTTTCTTGCAATTTTGCTGTGTAATAACAACAATGTCTTTTCTTCTTCTTCTTCTTTGTTTCTCTCTCTGTATTATAATCTCTCTCTTTTGTGAGAGTTGAGCCTCAATTTGTGAGTTTTAATTGTGAAGAGAGAAAAGAAAAGAAATAAAAATTGAGTCTTTATTGGATGAAGTGGGGTGGGATTGAGGGAAAGGAATCTGCGCCGTTGGATGCTGAATGGACGGTGAGATGGGTTTCCCTCCAACTGGCCCCCTGTTAATGGAGCGTCGATGAGATATATTAGTCACGTGGATTTCACGCGCTGAAATTTTGTGTAAAAAGCCCATTTTTTTGCCCGGTATATGTGACCTTTGCGAAATTTTATTTATTGGGCTTTTTTTTATATTTATGTAGGCTTATAATTGTGATTAATTACCATTTAGGCCCACTAGTGAAGCCCTACTAAACATCCTTTTAAATAGGGTAAATTACGGCCAACACCCTGAGGTAAGGTCTAATTATGAAACAACCCCTCTTCTTTGGGTAATTACAACCATCCTTCAACTATGAATCTTGTTATACATCTACCCTTATGGTGTCAAGTTCAACATAATCTTGCAGATTCTGTGAAACGTTCTCTAATTTGTACTCGTTTTGTGCAAAAAAATGCAGTTTCTCATGCACCACAATCTGATAATTACAAGTCAAAAGATACATCTTATGATCATCTTGTTTCATTATGTGGAGCTCGGATGTGGTAAAATACAAACAGGAGAATATTCCAGAAGATCCCACTAAATTTGACACTGAAAAAGTAGACGTGTAAAAGGGGTTGTAATTACCTAAATATAATAATTTTTTTCCATGATTTAACATTACCTCAGGGGCGGCAGTAATTTATAATGTAAGATGGAATATCAAATTGGAACAAGATTCTGTTGTTACTCAATAACTAGTGTGTTCTCTAAATCTAACAATAGTAAACAATTGTTGTGGCAAATTATAAAATTAATTAATTAATTAAATTTTCTAAGATGAAGCTTTCTAGTATCTTTTGGCGATTCCATTTGTACCTACCAACTTATTTGTTACGCATTAAGTCCTACCAAAACTAGTTTATTCGTAACTAACTAAATGGCCCTTCATTTACTCTTTCTAACTTTTATTATTATGTCTTGTATTTTAGGTTAGAATTATGTTTAACCAATGTTTTCAAATTATGTTCTCAGGTCCAACTGGTTCAACCGCCACTCGTCGACTACGTCAGTCCGAGCAGACGTACAAACCCATAAAATTATAAAATCCGGGTCAAATTACAAGGACTAATGAGAAATCCGGTTGACCCGGCCAAAATCGAACACAAAAAACAGTTACATGTGAATATTATTGCCCTCTCTATCTCGCATGAGTGACAACGTCACGCATGAAATTATTTTCTTTTGAAATTGAAAAATCATACACAAACTACTAAAATTTAGAAACTTATAGACAATCTAATTTGAATTTCAAATTCAAGTAGGATAATTAATATCACAACTTTACAATATAGCTTCAAATGTGCTCAAGTAGATGTTCTACTTTGGTATCAATTCTCGTTAATAGAGTTGCATGGTACGTAGCCTCTACCATTAAAATAAACATCTAGGGTTTCGAATCCTGCTTCTCACCCTATTTCTCTAATTTGTAACAGGATTACTTCACTGGCAGTGGCGGAGCCACCCTTTGGCAAGGGTGGGCTCCAGCCCACTCTCATTTTTTTAAAATTTATACCATATATTATATCTATATATAATTAGCCCCCCAAATAGTTTAATTTAGCCCACCCAAGTAATTTAGTTTAGCTTATCTATCAAAAAATTTATGTTATATTAGTTGAAGTTTATAATTTGTAGTTATTTAATGCTATTTTATGTTAATGAATCAAAAAAAAAATCGGGGGCGCTGCCCCCGAACCCCCGTTAATGTTAAGCCCACCCTATCTCAAATTCCTGGCTCCGCCACTGTTCACTGGTGAGTTAAATATTTCAATCTTGAAAAATTGAGCAACCTATAATAAATTTATACACAAATATCAAACAAAACAAATAGCAATTAAAAAAAAACTTTTAAAGAAAGTATATATGAAATGAGAGTGTAGGAGGGGCCTCAACCCTACTTGTTATTATCTTGTTCAAACTTACTCTTCACGTTGCCTTAAATTGATAATAATTTAAATTTTCCTCCATCTAATAATAAATATTGAGTTTTTCTTTTTTCACCAAACAATTGTCCACTTTGAGAAAATCCCAAATCAAATATATTTTCCACCAATTAAGTTATTGTGACTTCTATCTATTTATTATTATTTTTTTAGAATGATAAAATGTGAAAAAAAAAAAGTTATTTATGGGAGATATAAACAATCCTAGTAGAACAAAATATAAAAACATAAATTTAATTTTCAAAATATATATACTAGAAAAATTAAGTTTTTTTGAGTTAATTAAACAAAGTGTGACAGCTCAATAGTGTTGTATACGAGGGAAAAAGCTTCAAATACAGCCCATTTTTAATTTATTATTATTGTTAATTACAGTGAAAAATAATAATTAATTAGTCCAAAAGCTAAAGAAAAAAATGAAAAAAAACAAAAAAAGTTGTTAAGAAAACAGCTTAAGCTTTGTGGTTTTCGCTTTGAAGACAGCTGTGTTTCCAAGTAATTCCGTCTTGGACACTCTGTCACTTCTCGGGCAGCCCGGGCAGCCAACCCCCCACTCATTTATCACCTATATACCATTAATTTTTTATTTTATATATATTTTTTAAGTAAATATTAATATTAAACACCCTAATATTATCAGAAATATTCAAGAATTAATAAGGGAGAGTTCAAATTTTCGTCTCTTATTAATAATATTAAGAATTGTTAAAACTATTTTATCTCCTATTTTTAAGTTTATTTTCTCTAATTTTTATTTGCTTCATTTATTTAATGATCAATTTCATATTATGATAATTAAGTTTATATATATATTTTTGGGATGAGTTTGTATTATTAAATTTGTATAAATATTAATTGGGTTACCGATATCACTAATAAATTTTATTATAATTGTTATTGTCATATATTAAACTAATAATTATTTTCAATATTGAAATGTTATCCCGTTCATCGCACGGGGCAAACTGCTAGTATATGATAAAATAATAACACGAATCCCGGTTCAGAAAATTAAAAAAAAAAATATTTAAAAATTATGATTCGATATCACAAATTTTATAACAAGGTA